TTGTGTGGGGTCTTAAAATTGAATTTCATAGTTAACTAGGCTATGAGTTACCGATCTGTGTCATTCTGTACTTGTTTAAGCACATGGGATGTTCTCAAAGTCAGATTTCATAAATCTGATTTTCCTTACTGAGGTAGAAATCCAGGGCTAAGGTGAGGCAGAATGTATTGAATTTGGGGTTTTAGCTATGTATCAATGTAAAAGTGCAAGAAGCAGGATTTCATCAGAACCAGATGTCATGATTCCCAGGATGAAAAATTGAGTAGTGCTTGTGTTGTCTTAATGTATGAAATAGAATTTTCTAAGTATGTATTGTAACAGTCTTTGTGTTGAGTTGTATATTTTTTTTGAAGTTTGAGTTCAAATTAGTCTATTAAAACAATCTCTGTTTCATGTTAACCTTTCTAGTTAGTGCAAAGCTTTCTTGTTTCTTTGAAGGTGACTTTCTGGCTACCTGTCTCATTCTGTGGTCTCATTATTCAGTGAACATTGCATCAGAATTTGAGGTGATAGTAGTGAAAAAATGCTGAGTTTATGATACAAGTAGTTGTACTGGGCAGAAAGAAAAAAGTTAGTAAATAATGCCATTCAGACATCCTGTAGTAAAAGTACTTTTTGGAAAGGCAAGAGCAATTCTTGATCATATAAGAAAGACTTTTCACGGCCACAGCTACTGTTTGCTTTTAAATGCTTTGTGCTTGAGACGTTTATTTAGAAAGAAAAAAAAAGGCTATAAGGGTAAGGGACAAGAAAACCAGAAAACCTCCAACATCAGTGTTTTGTATTTTATTCTACATTATTTTGTTGGACAATTTTTAGGCATTGCATATATGTATACTGTATGTATATGGATATAAATCACTCAGTTGTTTCTTTTCAGCTAATTTGTTGTAAACTTGCTCATAGACCTTTTTTCTTCTGTGTATCGTAGTTATGAGAAAATATGCATCCTAAAGAGCATGTGTTTGACATTGGTCTTCTTTTGATGTTGTATTTGAAAGAGTAAATATAGATTATTGTTTTTAAAAGTTTTTTAAAAAGAGAAGAATATAAATTCACCTTGTCTGTGAGTGAGATTGGAATCTAGTACTTTCTACCTAATCATCAGGTTGTGCATGTGTTAGGTGTTCTTTATTTCCTCCTCCACTCTTACATATTTATATGTGGTACATAAACCAAGAGGAAGAGGGGAAGAAACTCACTTTGGTGAGGGAAATGAGTATCTTAAGTGTTTATGCAGTATTGCTAACAAAAGTATGATGAAAAATATAACACTTAATTTGTCATTATAATAGACATGCAGGAATCAAGTGTTTCACAATTTAGAGCAAATAAAATACACTGACAGTAGTGCAGTTTTATAGAGATCTTTCTCTGAACACTCACATCCTTCTAAATGTATGTTAAAATTGTGAAATGTCCTAGAACTGGAATTTAAGGAACGCTAGTTATAATCAGCATGTCAGTTAGGACGTTAGAGGCAAAGGATCTGGGCATCTCTTTAAAAAGTTTGAGAGGAAGCTGTATCAGTGAGGTGCAGTGTGAAGAACAGAATAGGAGCTAATCTATTGTGTACTGCCTTTCAAACCAGTGACATTGATTACTTGAGGATCACACTGTTTTCTGTCTCTTTCAGAAAAGATACAGAAGGTGATGGTGAAAAATATCGCTTTCTTGAGAATGAGGCCTTTTTTTGCATAGTTCCAACTTTGTTGTAGAACTTGCTGTCCAAGGTATGGGGTTGGGGTGTGTGTGTGTATTTGGTTTTGTTTTGTCTTGTTTTCTGTTGTGTTGGGGTTTTTTTAATTATGAAAGTCAATAATGTACTACAGGAATATGGTAGGCATTGAGTTGTAAAAACTTGGGATGTATTTCCATTATAGACATTATTGCTTTCTGCAGAATCTCCCTCACAGCTTACTGCTCCCACAGTATACTTAGAAGGTCATTTGGAAACAAGTATTTCAGTATTTATATCTCTCTGTTTTGTTTGTTGAACTGTTATTTTCCCTTCTGAGGAAGCACTGTGAAATCATGGAATCTCTGCTGCTCTGGTAGGATGGAAAACAGATGTTTTCCTCAGTGGTCATTAGTGTTTCTAGCTGCCTCTGTTGTTTTTTTTTGTCCTCTGTGTTTTTGTCAGTCTACACGATCTCCCCTTCATAAATCCATGCCAACTGCTCCCATTCATCTTGCCCTTTACATGCTTGGAAGCAGTTTCCAGGGTTATTTGCTCCACCTTTTCAGGGATCAGGGTGAGGCTAACAGGCCTGTTGTTGCCTGGATTCTCCGCTTGTCCTTGAAAACAGTTGACACTTGCTTTCTTGACTGCTCTGGGACTCCATCCATCAGCCTAAAAATGTCAAACATAATTGAGAAAGGCCTGGCAATGACAGGTGTCACATCAGGTCTCATGAAAGTGTTATGTCCAGTTTGTTTGAAGTTTTCTTTATCTGATTCTCCTTCACTTAGAGAAAATCTTATTTGCTCCAGACTTTTCCACTGGTCTCAAGGGCTTGGGATTCCAGAAAGCAGATCTTACCTGTAAAAAGCAAGGTGAAGAAGGTGCTTTGGCCTTTTTTGTGTCCTTTCACTGGGTACACCACCCCATTCAGCAGCAGGCCCTTTCCCCTAGCCTTCCTTACCATGCTCATGTACCTCTTCAAGATTTTCATATTTTGACTTTCATATTCCTCACCAGTTTCAACTGCAGGTGGACTTTAGGTTTCTTAGCCCCATCCCAATACACCCAAGTGATATTTTTGTATGAAATGTGTACGTGTACTTGATGTAGCCCCACTTCACCTCTGTTTTCTTGATAACAAGATCGGTATTATCCAAAATATCCTGCATCCTTTGATTGCAAAGCCAAACCACCACTTCCTCCCTCAGTCACAGGTCACCACCTCCCACTCTCATTGTTCCTACTCTTAAGCCTTCCCTTAGGAGATTTAACAGCCTGTTGGCAAAGATACTTAGACTCCACAAAATGTCAGGTGGATCCTGCTTATCCTGTCCCACAGTTACTGATCCTCAGAGAAGGTCTTATGGATGTAAAAGCAGTGTCCCAGCTTTTGACACAAGCTACACAAGCACTTTTTGGTCTGTGAGATCTGTCTACTCATCTTCAAATCCTTCACCTTCACCAGCAGGATGGAGGAGACAATCACTACTTGGTCCCAAGGCCCTGGCCCTCATACTCCAAGCTATGTAGTCATGATTCATATGCTCTTGGTTTCTCCAGGCTTTATCCATGATGCCTCTATGAAAGAGCAGATAAGAGTAATAGTCTGAGGGCTAGACTACTACCAACCTCAGTAATAGCCTGTCCATGGTATCCGGGACCCAAGCCCCTGGCAAGCAGCAAGCCTTGCCAGGTGACAGGAGATCCCTCTGTCCCTGCAGCTGGGAGTTTTCTGCCAGTGTTCCTTCCCACATCTTGCCCACACTGGCACAGAACTTGGGCACAGCCACCTTGCAGTCTTCAGTGGACAGAGCTCCCTGTCTTTGCCTGCTGCCAGGACTTAGAACCTGATCTGTAGATCAGACCTACAAGCAGAGCATGAGCTGAAGCTTGCAAACTCCTCAGCTTCCTCAGACTTGGCATCTCCATGTCTGCCTTGACAAGCTAAGTCTCTGCCTTCATCTCCCTGGTGCAGTGGGTGTTTCTGCAGGGTCCTGGAGGGAATCTAACCCATCTCCTTTTCAGCATTCCTGATGTACAGTCTACTCACCTCCTCCCACAGCTTCTCTGCTTGGCGAGACAGATTCTCCATCAGTGCATGCTTAGAGGGATATAAAATATTTTTTAGTTCTAAACCTGCTGGTTGCCAAAGCTAACTTAAAATAATTTAAGCCAGTTCTAAGGGCACATTAGCTGTATTCAGTATGCAAAGTGGATTTGTCAAACAAGTGTTAGCAAAATTGATGCATTTTTAGGATAAAAATAAGCACTTACTACTCTGCTATACTTTGCGAATAATATTGCACTAGAGTACAGCAGACAAAGATTTATAATATACAATGCATAGGAGAAGTGTGGAAAAATGTCCTATTAAGGTCTGATTTTGATTAGAGATCTAGAAAAAGAAGAAAACAAGACTTTATTGAAACGTAATAACGATTTTATTGAAACAATAAAATTAAGCAGAGAAACCATGAATGCAAGTAAGGATAGACATACATGAAGCTAATAATCAAAAGCCCTGGAAACAGGTGTCATTGAAACTGATGGGTAGGAGAATAGCCTGGCGTTTATGTGTTAGTTGCAATATTAAAATATGTTTATGAAGGCAGCCAGACAAAAAAAGTAATAGTTGTAATATTTTCCTTGAAGGAAATATGAATAGTTCATATGACCTAGTGTGGTGTTTTTATGGAGATCAGTTAATGAAGCTCTGAAGTTCATACTGTAGGACTTGGTGGGCATTCTTCAATCTAGAACAAAAAAGAGTATTGTGGTTCCTTTCTCTTTTGGTTTCCTAATGCTATGAAGGAGTTGCTTTAAGCAGGGAAAAATGACAAATTCGTAGGCAAGTTTATGACTCTTTTAGCAAACAAGCTTTTAAAAATTGATCTGTAAATACATTTGGGAGGTGGGACGAATCCTCATCTAACATAAATCATTCCCTGTATTTCTTATTTGCTTTGCAACCTTTTAGTTTTGGTGGGAAACTTCTTTAACGTTTATATCTTTTGCTGCTGACAGTTGCTTGCTTTACCTATTACTTAATAGTTGTCCCAGGTACTTGTTTTACTTGCATCTTAACGATAATGTTACTTTTTAGCAAGATAGAATTAATTAATGAAATAATTAAATATTTCTCCTCTTGGTACTTGGAATAGTGTGTATGAAATGTCTGTAAGTTTTAGTTTAGTTCCTTAAATCAACAGCTGGCAGTTGTTGGGTTTCTTTCTCTTTGAATGTATGTAGAACCCTGGAGGTTGCATGATAGTAGTTAATTTACTTTTTGTGTTTTGTTTATCTCTCTAGGATAATATTTTTGTCCTGGGTTGTGACAGATTATTACCTGTTTGTATTCAATGGGACGAAGAATTCATTTTGTGGTTGACCCTCAGGGTTGGTGCTGCATGGGCCTGATTATCTTTGTCTGGCTGTACAATACAATCTTCATTCCAAAAATCATCCTTTTTCCTCACTATGAAGAGGGACATATTTCAGTCATGGCAATTTTGTGTAAGTCAATTTAACTTAGTAAAAACAGTGTCTTTGGGCAGTAGTTAACATATGTGAGGAAGGTAAAAAACTAAAGAATAAGGTGAAGGATAAGGGGCAAGATACAGAATGAGAGTACTGGGTTGCATCCTATGTTTTTGTGTTCTGAGAAGTTGAGATGTTTATCTCATTTATTTCAAAGGTGTAATGGTAAAACTTGATTGTGTGGAACCTGGGAAAAAGCACTAATATGGCTTTCAGATTCTGTAGCTAAAGCTTGGTGACAGAATTTCAGGCTCATGAGTCCTAATGCTTGTCATAATTTGGGGTGGTTGTACTGATGGTTGACAAACTGAGTTTTGTTAGTTTTGTCATATGCCCCTGGATGGGTCAGCTAATATGCATTATGCTAATAGCTTTTGCTGAACAAAAGGCTTAAATTATAACAGGCATCAGCTTTAAAGTGGAGGTGTATTATTGGGAATGTCCTTTCACGTAGGGGCTTTGAGGTCGTGAATGATTGATGTTTATTTGATAAGACAGTGGAGGAACTTCTTAAATGCAGTAGTAAGATCATAGTGGCATTCCACTGGTGCTATCAAAGCAAGTGTTTGCTGCTGCCTTTTCTTCTCCCTTTTTAAGACTGGAGAGTACTTAATATTTTAGACTACATAGTACCAAAAATTTATCTGGAATTTAATGAGAAGGCTGAGTAATTTCCAGTTTAGTGCTGCTGCATCTAGATTTTTGCTGCAGTGTATAGTAGGTATTTTGTACACCTGGAAAAGAATTAATATGGTGAATTTTTTCATTTTTAATTTTCAGGTTATTACTTCTGCTCTTTATTTTGTATAGCTTCATTGCTAAGAGCCTCAATAGCTGATCCAGGAAAGCTGCCTGAAAACCCAAAGATACCAATTACAGGTACATTAAATTGTTTCTATGTGTTTGAATAAAAGTTATTTTAATGCCCTCAAAATAATTAGGAATGAGTTTGATTTTGTGAGATTTGATTGAAGCCATGAGCTGTCTCTACTGAAATCTATATTCTTAACTAAATTAAAACTGCTATGTCACTGTTTTTATCTTGCAAGTTTCTAGCAGTTTACTCAAAACTTTTTTTTCAAAACTTGTATTCTGCCAGAAGTTTAGTTATGTAGAAATTTCTGCTAGGAAATTTTTCCATGGGAAGATGTTTTTTTGCATTCTAGACTTTCCAGCACACTGCTTTACTTCGAACTTGATAACATTTAATAAAATGTGTTTAGAGAACGTTAGTCATTGTAGTTCTAAGGCTTTTTTGTGAGTAAATTTGTAAGATGTTTGAACTGGTGGTAGAAGGAGCCTTTACACTGCATTTTACCTGTGCATTTTTTACACATTTTTTTCAATGACTTATATTTGTATGGGCGGTTAACAAATTTGACACTAATTACATTGTGTTACTACATAGTAGCAACCTAACATTTGAGAATTCCCTTCGGTTGTGGTGAATACAACTCCTGTATGTTAACCAGTACACCAGAAGCAGGAGGAAATTTTAAACCTTAATAATTCTCCACAGAGAAAGCCTATATTTTTCTTAACTGTTTGATGCTATTAAGGTCCTTGTCTAATGCTTTTACATAGCAGCTTAGAGTGGAGTAGGGCTATTAAACAGTACAGGCTTTGTCACAGCAACAGAAAATACTTTTTCAATGTAGAAAATGCATCAAATGCAGTGAGAGTTGAATATTTCTGTCATGTCATGGAACTTGGTGAATACTAAGTGACATTTTGCTCTCTCTTCCTGGTGTTAGTGAGAATCTAGGATAATGTGTTTGGAAACATGGTCTGTGTAGCTTCAGCACTGATGTTATGTGCACAAAGTAGGCAGCAGATAGTAGGAAGGGATATATCTACTGAGGATTCAGATGTGAAACACTGATTGCAGAACATCTCATGTCTGTTCTTTCTGTGCCTGGTAACTGAGCCTGTGATCCAGTAAGACAAATGGTGGCTCAGATTTGGGTTAAGCTGCAGAATGAACAGTATGCAATGCAAGCTGGAGAATCGAGACATTCAGTACAGTTACAGATAATTGCATATATGAATGAATGTTGATTTACCTGCAAAATACCAGGACTGCTACAAATTCCCTTTTTGCGCAACTGTTTATTTCTCTTTGAGGAGTCCTGTTGAATAGTTCTCCAGCTTCTTCATGATGCATTCATTTCATAACACAGTGGTGCTTCATAGGTACTTCAGAGGATGGAACACTTAGGCTTGACTGTGACATTATTATTTTGGTGGGTGTTAACTAATGATTTTTGTACTTTCTAAAGTAGCATTTCAGTTCTCTGGTGTTCTCTAAGTTGACAGGAAGATACATTTTTCGTGGTATAAATTATATTTTAAAATTAGGTTGGGGTGTTTTAGGACTCTGCTGGTAGCTGCCTTGTTAGGGAGTGACACCTTTGTGACACTGGATTTACTGGAACAGATTGTACATGTCAGTTTCCATCTGGCATTTCTACTAGTTTAATGATCTTGGATACTTGGCTTTTTTACTTACAGTGTCCAAATGTTGTTTTGCTGCAAGAAAGACAAGATTAGAGCTGCCTGCAGGTGGCTCAGAAGTGCTAAATGTAACTTTATTTTGTTTGCATAGAGATAATGCTTTACCATGTAGAATTTCAGAATACTCTACTGTAAAAGCTAAGCTTATTTTTTCCCCCTGGAATTTAAGAAATTTCTCTGCATCAGAAGGGTTTTATTTAGCTAGAAACAACGTGTCAAAGTATTTGAGATTCTTAGTCATGCAGCTGTTTTCTTTATAGACAGAAAATAAATGTTTTTGTGAATTGGACTATTACAGTGTTGGTGTGATTTATTTCCCGTGTGAAGATTAACTTTCCAAATATATAATCTGAATTCTCTTTTTTTAAAGCTTCCTTTAATTTGGATGGTGCAATTTCAGATAAATAATAACTGAGCTGAGAAATAGAATCATAGAAAGGTTTGGGGCAAAGGGGACCTTTAAGATCATCTAGTTCCAACCCCCCTGCATGGGCAGGGACACCTCCCACTAGACCAGGTTGCTTCAAGCCCCATATAACCTGGCATTGAACACTTGCAGGGAGGGGGCATCCACATCTTCCCTGAGCCACATATAACAGTGTCTTGCCACCCTCACAGGAAAGAAATTCTTCCTACTATCTGATCTAAATCTTCTCTCTTTCAGTAGCTCATGGTAGTTCCAAGTACTCAGTATCTCTGGAGATCACCTTAAAGAATCTCACACTGAGTATCCAGAATAGTGTATGTTTTTAAATACAAGCCTGTCCTCTGTCTGTTCCTTGGTTGCCTTATGTGTAAAATCGCATGTTACTTGAGATGGATGTCCACCTATGCTTTGATATGGAACATGCTCCTGAAGTGTTCATTTTTATTATTATTTTTTTAATTTTCGGTAGCTAGCTTTGAGAAATGCAGATAGCAATATTTCCTCAGAGGTTTTGGAACAGCCTGGAGATAGTACTGCAGTTCTTTGTAGCAGATACGTTTTTTCACAGTAGACATGTAAGAAAATAATTGAATTATCGTCTTCCTTGTTTGAGTGAGCTTTTTCTCTCTCCCTAGAAATATGCAGGAGGAGAGAGGATTTTGGAGAATAAAACTGAGCAGAATGATAGTAATTTCTACTGGTTTAATGAAGGTGACAGTGGGAAAGGTTTTTTTGTATGCTGCTTACCCTTCTCAAATCATAATAAATACTTTCTAAATCAGTAGCATACAGATCTATCATGAGTGTTTAAACCAAGTTTAAATCTCTCTAAGGTATCTTTACATTTTCACCTAGAACGAGAATATTGGGAATTATGTAACAAATGCAATATGATGAGACCAAAGCGTTCACACCATTGCAGTCGTTGTGGACATTGCGTGAGGAGGATGGATCACCACTGTCCGTGGTAAGACCAGGACAACCTGCTGTTGTTGTTGTCAGTCATTCAGAGCTCATGGTCTTGACTGTTGCTCATCTGTCATACTTCTTTCCCAATAATGCTTAATTTTTTAGGCTTTTAAAGCAGGGAAAGAACAGCTTTGAGAGTTTCTTGTATCTACAAGTAAAACTGACAGTAAGAACTGTTGCAGTGTAACACTTTATCATTGTCAAATTGTTATATGCCATAAAAATTTGGAAAATGCACATATTTTGTTCAGAGGATTGGAATTTTTACTCCTAAAGCTGATCATTGTGCATTTATTTCATTTGTTGCAGCTTAGTTTTTGATGCTGGGAAAATATTTTATGTAGGAAATTAAACAATATTTATGTTTCTTGAATTGAAATAAAATAGTTTCAACGTAAGAGGGGGTGCTATTTATAATAGTAAGAACAGATAATGTTTTTTTGGGTTTTTTTGGCTGCACTGAGTAGAAAATGTTATTGGCTTATACCATGCCCCACTTGTCATAGCCTCCCTGATTTTGTAGTAAAACTGCTTATTTTAGTGTTCTGTAACTAATTTCAGTCAAAATGAACTAATCTTGCAAAAATCTCTCTTCAAACTGATTGTAGCTTAAAATGAAAACAAACTTTTGTTAGTAGTTATGAGGTATTGTTTCCACCAAGACAACATTGATGAGCCACAGAAGAAAGACTTGACATCAGGATCCTCATGTGTTGATTTAGTGATTTTTCAAACTACCCTTTTTGTTAATTGTTACTCCAGGAATGGTGCCAGTAAAGCACTTTAGTGATTATGACTTAGCTTGGTGCTGATATCTGTGCCGAAGCTTTAATGACATTTCACACCTACCATATTTCTTGCATCAGTATAATTTATGTGAAGCAGACTGGACCTCGATTTCAAAGGTTTTAAATCTGGTACTTATTCTAGAATGCTTGTAGTTCCTTTACTCCCTTATGTTAGAATATGAAAGAGTTTCTGAATAGAGATGCCAGTTCTGTCTTCTGTATCTTAGGTTCCTTCCTAGGTCATGCTTACACGTCATTGAGATACCCTATAGTCACATTTGTTTCAAACCATTCATTTGTATTTCTAGTTTTTGGACTCTGCATAGTTCACAACGAGTGAAATGTGTTTAGCAGCAGAAGGTATACGTATTACTGAGAAATATTGTAGACTTAACAAATAATTTCGTTACTTGAGTATTACTTAAAATTGTAGGAGCAGAATCATAGAATCACAGAATGGTTTGAGTTGGACTGGACTGTAAAGACCATCTAGTTCCAAATCCCCTTCATAGGCAGGGACACCTCCCACTAGACCAGGTCCCGTCCAGTCTGGCCTTGAACACTTCCAGGGTGGGGCATCCACATCTTCCCTGGTCAACCTGTGCCAGTGTCTCACCATCCTTACAATAAAATATCTTTGTTGTTTGAATATACAGATAAATATGTCTCCTGCTTGAAGCAGTCATCTCAGTAATGCAACCTACAATTTAAGTGGCAGTGTAAGGAAATCACTCCTTACAGGAACTGTCATCTCTTTCATACAGACCATCGCTTTGACTAAGAATGGAGTGATTACTCAGTGGTTCTTACATTTACTCTGTAAATAATCATAACTTCTATTATTCACAATGTCATAACTGCAGTGTTAAAAGTATTTTTATTTCTGTTTTCATATGTACATTTTGTTTATTTGCAGGATTAATAATTGTGTTGGTGAAGACAATCATTGGCTGTTTTTACAGCTATGTTTCTACACTCAGATCCTTAGTTCCTATACACTGATACTTGATTTCTGCCATTACTACTATTTTTTGCCTCTGAAAAAAGAAAACTGGGTAAGGATCTGTTTTCTCCATAACATGAATAAATTGCTAGTACTGCAATGCAATTTATTTTGGTATGTAGTTACAACACCTTTCTGGTGGTTCATTTGTTGACGTGAAGAGAATTCATTTAGATGTTGTCAAGTGAGCAAATTAATTTATGCTAGCTAACAAAATACCATTCTAGAAAAGTATATTATTTTTATGTGTTAAAAACACAGTTGTTTTCTTAGAAATCTAGGAGAGAAGGACAGAACCAGTTAAGTTCCTTTAGAAGTGATTAGTGAATACTGAGAAGAAGCAAGGTGACTACTTTAGGTGTATGCAAATACTGTTTTACTTTCTCCAAAGTAGATTTATGTGTAGTATATGTTTTAAGTCCCTGTTTAAAAATGTTTATATCACCAGAAAAATTAGAAAAAACATATGATCACTCTGAAAGGAGAAAAATGTATGTTAGTTTGGAAGCAATATTTTTTGTGGCTTTGAAAAGATCATGTTGGTTCAGGGAGAATTAATTTTGGATTCTTGTACTTCAACTCTGCTATTATCATATTTTAAAATCTTGTAATTAGCAAAATGCAGTTGAACACAGTAACAGAGAAGACGGACTTACGAATTGGAATAGAGTAAAAAATTACAGGATTCCTTCCATTATGGAACTGTAGTTGTGAAATCCCTAGTGTTTATTTATGTCTATTAGCCATTAAGTTTAGAACATTCGAGAGCTTTTCTTGGAAGCTGCTAAATGCTTGGAAGCCTTAGAGCAGCAAAACTTGGTACTCTTTCTTTTGAAGAAAATATTATGAGATCTTGCTCTTAAAATAATACTAAAAATTCTACCCAAAATCTGAAACAAGCTTTGTATTTGTGCTGGACTATAACAAATACAAGCACACTAAAGAGAAAAACCTAGAAAACAAGTTTAAAACTTATTCAAAATTAGGTACATTCCAGATGTTCTTAGTGAAGAGACTAAGACCATCCCAGAAATTGGTAGTGTACTCTAAATTTTTCTGAGATTCTTTCTAAGTACTGAAGTGCTGCAGATTTCTTTATTCCATGTTGATGTGACACCTCAGAATACTCCTTACTAGTGATGTCACATCCATCTTTAAAGGCTGCTGGAGACTGGCCTTTGATTATGGATAAGGAAGGTCCCATTTTCCATTTTGCTAAGCAACTTCAGTTTGTTATTTTGTATCCTAAACAGTATAAAATACAAATACTACACTTTCTGAAGAATTTTACTTCTGGAAAAGAATGGAACATCGCCTTCCAAGCTCTCTGTTTGCTCCCTTATCAGTTTGCAGTGGATGTGATGTTCCAAGAAAGTATATAGGAAGATGACGTGTCAAAGGAGAGCTGAAAATGTGGGAAGACTGTACTCCTTGGGTCAGCCAGAGCTGAAAAGTTCTTACATTTGTGTTCATATTTACCAACTTTTTTATTATAGGCAATGTCCCAAGTTGAGGATTTTTGAAAATCTCTTTTAAAATGGCTTCTATTCTAAAGGAATTTCATTCTTTAATTTTTTCATCTATCTAAATATTTCCATTTAATTGGAAACAAGGGACTGTAGGAATACAAAAAAAAAGAGAAGAATGTGCTCTCTGCTTGGAGCATTGTTCAGTAGATTCTGCCCTGTAAAGTGAGACAGACCTGTAAAACTTGTCCTTTAAAATGGAGTTCTCATGTTTTTCACTTTGTTTCCAGTTTGGTGCAGATGGATTTTTAATACTCATCTCACCTTGTGAGAATTGAGTGAGCTATTTTGATTTGTTGTAGCTACATGCAAGTTAAAAGGGGTGTGAAATTGCAGCCTTTCTATCTTAGTGAAGAAATCTGTTGTCTGAGTAAAATTTCTCAGATACCTTACATTTTGAGTTTTTAGAAAGTTATTATTTTTGAAAGGTAACACTGTAAATGCCTTTACTTCTAGTTTCAATATCTTTGTAAAGTTTTTTTTTTTAGTATATGAACTAATTAAACCTGCTACCTTTCTGGGCAGAGTAAAATTATACTTTATGTATTCTGAAGGCTTCTTGTGCACGGGGTTTGCTGGTTTCAAGCAATAAAGCCTCTCAGTGATAATGATCTGACTACTGGATTGGGTATTGCAGTGGTTCCAGGAGTGTTATTTTCCAAAGATAAAATATTTGTATTAAATTGGTGGTGCTTCTTTAATAGTATTATTATTTTGTTTTTGTTGTGACAGTGCCCTGAATATTCTGTCTTAAATTAAGTACTTACAGAATATGTAGATAACAAATCCAAGTTCTGTTTGTTAGCCTTGCTTTTTAAAAGCAGGAAGAGTGGGAACCAAGCTTTGGATTGCAGGTGGTCTGTGCAAGAGAGGAGAAAGGAAATCATGTTTACTTCAGACACTTTACAACCTCTAAAAAAGTAATAACAGATAGTTATTAATAACAGTTAAAAAGATGGGTACCTGTAAAACTTTGTTCTTAATGGTTTAACTTGATGGTTATTTTCAAGTCTTTGGGAAAGAGACACACTTTTCATATCTAGCCTTTAGAAGATGTGGCAGGCTAGGAGGCAGAATATGTAGGCAATAATTATTTAAAATCAGTTTATAGTAGTTGCCTGTAGAGTGGACCAGGTTCCCATGTTTGACTGCCTAAATTTACACATAGTCATGGAAAAAAAAAGAAGTACCCTATTCTGTTTAATTTTATTTTCTTCTAGATGTGTGGGTTTTTTTCCCTTTGTGCCACAGAATAATTTGTCAGAATTATGTAATTTTGACATAAAATTAACAAGACTAATGGGAAGATTTGTTTACTATTACTTAACGTTTTTAGGCATGCATCCTGTAAGATTCTTTAGTTTTTGTATATCAACTAAAGCTGAAGTACAACAGCATTTCAGAGACCACAGTACCTTCTACTTTTCGTAGCATTGGTCAACCAAGAGCTGCCTGAATTGACAGAGGCTACTGTTTAGCACAAGCTAAATAATTATAATGATAGTTTTTTTCTAAAAAGCCATCTGGAA